CTAGGTAGAGCTCTAGTTGGAATTCGATTTAATTCATATACCGAAAATTTTAAAGCCTCATCCCATAGTGATTTTGGGATACCCGAATCAATTATCTTGGTTCTGAATTTATCCAGTAAAGTTCTATTCATGCGTTCTGCTTTCCCATTCTCTTGGGGTATATATGCCATGGCATACTCCAGTGTGATACCCTTTTGTTTACAAAAATTTCTAAAACTACTGGAAAGAAATTCACCTCCATTATCTAGTCTAAATGCTTTAACCTTGACTTGATTTTGTCTTTCAAGATCTCGAACATACTGTACCAGATTTTTACTAGCTTCATGTTTGGTTTTTAAAATTCTGATTGTTAAGAAATGAGAATAATCATCTAATATAGTTTGGAAGTACTTACTACCATCTTTAGTTTGTGGATTGATTGGTCCGCAGACATCACTATGCACTAAATCTCCTATAGCTGTGGTTGTCCTTTTACTTCTCTCAAACGGACACCTTGTTGCCTTGCCCTCCATACAACTGCTGCATACCTGGTTAGATTTTGATAAACCCAACTGCACAATTGCCATAGGTCCTCCACCACTGAAATGTGACTCTGGTGAGGCAACGGTTCTATTATCTTGTTCATTGGTAACACATATAGTCCATTTTTGTTTTCACACTTCAACACAAACGTTCTACCATTTATGGTTGTGCCTTCTCTTTGGACTAAAATCTGGTGCCCCCTTGTAGTTAGCTTTGAGGCTGATAACAAATTGTGTTTCATACCTGGAACAATGAGTGCTTCAACTGACAATTTGACCCCTTGACACTCCTGAGTCCAATACGAAATTCATACCTTCGATGTGATTTCCGTAGTTTGCTGCATACGGAATTACGTCTTCTTCGGCTGTATTGGCTTTCTGATTTCTATCTCCCGCCGTTTGTACACTTCTTTTTCCTCTCCCTCTTCGTGGGTTACCTCTGAATTCTCTATATTGCCTGCCTCTAAAGTTCCCTTTTTTCCGTGGACACTGCGCTTGAAAATGTTGGGGACTACCGCACGCAAAACATTTCTTGCCACTTACATTCAAGCCTATTTTGCTGTCTTCATTGCTACAATTAGCTTTTGATTTCATTTTTATTTCCTCGCCCAATAACCTCGCTTTAACAAAATCAAATTTTAAATCTGAAATTGTCTCCAAAGCTGTTACAATTGTACCATATTGTACTGGCAGTGACAATAGTAATTGGCAAACTTTATCACTCTCACTTAGGTCTTTAAGCTCCCTGACAATTGTATCAAATTTTAGGAAATGGTCGTCAAGCCTTTCATTCGCTGTAGTTTTTAGATTTAACAGTTTTCTCCAACAGGATAATCTAGTAAAAGAGCTAGACCTTACAAACACATTTTTCAATGGCTCAATTTGCAGCTCAAAAGCAGCACTTTCTCCTGGTTTATTACCTTGGATGGCCTCCTGGCAGTTTTCCCTTCGAAACAAAGTTACCATTCTGAATTGCCAATTATTAAAATTGTTTGCTTCTAAATTTGGCACTGTATTGCTGTGTATTCCAGCCATAGCTAAAAGTACGAAATTCTAAACTGTTTACAGCTCATATTTTACAATCCCTCGCTTCTGGAATCTGGGCCCATAACCTCTTGAATTATGTGGGTTTAATAACACACACTGAAGCGTTTTATTTTAAGAAGGATATATTAAATATTGGAATTTATAAGAAAACTAACAAAATTCATCCAACACTTGGTCCGCCATTCCACCGCGTGCTTGTTCTCTTGTCACGTAGGCCAAAATGGAAGTTATTTCAAAAACAATACATGTAATGCCATCTATGTGACAATAACTGCGTTCTGCACTAATACATTCAACAAAATTTTCGTTTCAATACCTGGACCAGTAGGTCACAACACAATTTTATATGGGGCAATGAAAATATATAAAAAAAACACATAACCTCAATTTCTGCCTAAACTATGCAAAATTCGAATAGGAACTTCTTAAGAAAGTGACTTTTATTTTAACCAAGGATTCCAAAAATGTCTATATCTACAGAGTATTCCATTTAAAATAACAAAGTTCATGTCGAAGGGTACACTTTTGGGACATCCTGTATCAACAAAATGATAATATTATAAATCTTCAGGAGAGTCCAAGAAACTTTTGTACGAAACTTTTTTTCATATATCCAATGGGTTTCCAGATCGTATAGTGAGTCGTTTTATTTGTCACAAGGTGTACATAGATTTACATTTATTTTTTAAATTTTTCTGTCATTTATTTTCCGAATATTGAAGATTTTGAAAGATTTTTTTAACAGATAATGTTAAAGCCAGTTTTCAAAAACTTCTTGATAGTCCCAGGGACCTTAATACACTTCGCAGACAACAACAAACAGTTTGGAACAAATCCCACTTCTGATCCGACATAATTATGGTGTTGCATTTTTCTTTATTTGGAATTGCTTTTGCCTGACTGTTTTTCTCATCTATATAAATTATACATCTGTTTCTGGATCTCTGTTTTTTTAATTTTATGAAGGTAATTAAATCACCAAGTGCGCAATCTGTGCGATTCAATTGCCACTTTTATCTACTTTGTAGAATTCAAATCCCATTTTACAAATAACTCTGTGGGGGGAGACACAGCTAATAATTATATTAGTTTCGTCTTATTTTAGCTTCCTTTTCAATTTGTTTTTTGATTTTCCTCCCCATTATTTTTGGTTCACTATTGCGCAGACGGCAACTTTTTTTTTCTTTCATTCAATAACGCACTGTTAACAATATCGTTTATCGAGGATATTATCGTTTTTATAGATAGACGGGGACTTTTAAAGGCACCGTTTCTTTGTTAGACATGTAGACACATTTTTCACGATTTGTTTGACATCTGATGATTACGGAAAAATTAGTGATATATACACAAGAAGCTTTTTCAAAAGGCACCTGACTCGCCCCTGTCTTGACGTACAAATTATTGGTTGTTGAGTTTACCGAATAACAATAGGTAATTACTTTTTGGGAGAGTCTGTCAAAAGTTATGACGGTATACTTTGAGATACACCATAATCCAGCAGTTTACTTAAATAGCAGTGATCGACTAGTGACACGCAGATTCACAACGTTGCCAAACTGTTATATTATTTCGATTTAACCATGAAATGATATAAAAGGTTAAAATTTTGGTTAGTCAACACTTTTCGATTTAACCATGAAATGATATAAAAGGTTAAAATTTTGGTTAGTCTACACTCCTTTTCATAATGCAAATAGGTAGAGATAAATTGAATTGAGTTTGTTAAAATAAATACAATACACTTTGAAACATGTTTTTTTGCAATAAGTTAAGAATCAATGATAGAAATAATGTTTGAAAATTTGGCAACGAACTAACCAAAACTGACGTTTTGTTATTTATTACCCCATCTACCATATGATTGGTTTTATTTTAAATGTGGTTTTAGATTATCATGAACATATTTTATATTTTTTATATGATATAGTTATGTCATTCAGAGAGACCCTACAACATATCAGCTAATGTTTTGGTTATCACCGATATAATAACCTTTGTCTTTGAAATTTAACGTTTTTTTTTATTTGAATTTACGCGACTCGAGCGATCTGCCTTGAGATTTATGAAACGTCTAGCGATCAAGCCGAAAGAACGTCATCTGAGTACTGGTCACATACACGGAGTTGATGTAATAGTGCAAAAAGTTTATACGATTTTAGAATTCAAATATATTTTATATTATTTAATGTATTTTATGTTTTATATTGTTTCTCATTCTTGACGCTTTGTAAAATCTTAGAAATTTTAAGTAAAAAAGTAACAGTTGGAATTAAATCACTCGTATATGTCAACTGTAGGATTAGCATGGATTAAGAGTGCTACCTTTTATATTTCGGGATTTGTAATAAAAAACTATAAGCTACCAACAAATATGACTTTATTATTTCTCAAAATATTCACCCTGATGACTAATACATTTTTGCATTTTGCTTCGAGTCGGGCATCTCCGAAACGTGCTTTTTAAACGCATCAATCGCTTCTTCTGGTGTCAAAAATCGTTGCCCACCTAATTTATCCTTAATGTATGGGAACTCATTAGGTGCTAAAGCAGTACTATGTGGTGGACGGTTGATCGAATCAACGTGTTTAATGTTCAAAAAGTTCTTTGTTTGCACTGATCGCTGAGAGTGATTCGTCTTCGGCAGTTAATTTTTCTAATTTCTTCGAAGAATTTCGCCAAACAAATGGTTGTGTACCATTCAGAATTAACTGTTTTACCTTTAACCAAAGAAACCGTTGGAATGTGGCCAGTTTTCCTGAAAAAACAGCTGCCATTTGTTTCGAGTTGCTTCGCGCACGAACATCTTTTGTGGGCTTTGTCTCATTCGGAAAGACCCACACAGTCGACTGCTGCTTACTTTCAGGTTCATATCATATCCATGATTCATCACCTCTCACCACTCAACACGAGCCTTTTTTTAAGCTGATGTCAAATGTCAAAAAATGTATGTATGCTGATCCTACTAATGCGCAAAGAAGCCTCAATCTCATGGTAAGTTACATGACGATCCTGCAAAATCAGTTTCCGCACTGCATCAATGTTTTCTTGGACAACCACCGATTTTGGACGACCTTCACCAAATTCATCCTTAAGAAAACTACGACCACGACTGAGGTCCGAAAACCAGCGATAAACAGTAGTCCTAGATGGTGCTTTAACTCCAAAAGTCGAATTAAGTTTCGTCGATGCATTGTTGTTGAATTAGTCCACGTCTAAAGTTGTAAAAAATTATTGCACGAAAATGTTCCCGATTAAGTTCCATTTTTAACCGTCATATTTTTTAAAATTTATTCGGGCAAACCTAACTGAATACACCTAACCTCAAAATGTCAAACTTCTCTAAAAAAACGTTAGTCGCCAGATGGCAGGACTAGTTTAAGAAAATCCCGAAATATAAAAGGCAGCCCTCGGTTGGTACAAAGCAAAAGATCTTCTTTTAGCCGCTGGCATTCGTCGGCAATATCCGGAAGCCCGTGGGAGATCCACTTGCCAAAAAAGGAGACGCTGGGAAGGAATTTTTTGCCCGAGAACGAATGTTCGTCGAAATCATTCTTTCATTGCTCCAAAGCCATGTCCCATTTGCATTCCAGCCCTAATATTTGTCTTGAGCACGTGTGGACGGACACCTTTTCAGCTCAGTAAGCCGGTATCTTAGAATGAATCATATACAGAAACGATAAACTCGTATACTGCCAGCTGCTTTTTAGTACGCTGCCTGAAAATTTGAAATACGAGGGTTATTTGAAAAATTTCAGACCTCACCCTGAAGATGGCGGCACTAGTTACTAAAAGCTAGTGATCGTAGTCGTGCACCTCTTGATAGTTACTTACCCAACTTTCAGCTATTTTGGAAGCGTGGTATTCACCTTAAGCATGAAAAATGTGAGTTCGAATGAATGTTTCCAACTCTCTGTTAGCGCCAATTTAGGCGCGGATTAATTAATGTATGGCGAAAATCCACGAATTACGGTTTCAACTACTTGACCATCCACCTTACTCACCAGATCTAGCCGCAAGCGATTCTTTTTGTTTTTAGTCAGATGAGAAAAAATATTTTGCATCATCGTTAGGTTGGAAACTTTTCAAGTGACCCTCGTATATAACACTTAATTGCGTTTAATTCATTTACCTAAATATTCTCGCATAACGTCAGAGATTGCGTCCTGTGATTTATCGCTTCTGTATCCGTTTTATACCGAGGTCGAATTCCTATTTTTTTTCTACAGAGACACTTTGACGGGCGGGCCGGCTTCGAAGGTGTTCTTAACGAAAGATATCGTGGGGCAGTCTTATCTGTGCTACGTGTTGCCGTCTAGGTTTAAATTATCCATAGTTAAAATCGACTATACGGGTCCTAATATCAATTTCGGGGTGTCGACTAGCATAAGCGCCAAAGACGCCGCGTCGATATCTGTAAGCCAAAATTTACGCTGAAAAATCGCGACCCTAGAGTCGAGTTTACGTTCCAGCATCTCAGAATGATGGCCATTTTGGAGCACAGCGGTAACATCACGTTGTATTCGGGACTCACTCCCGTGGGTAAGCTTCACATCGGCGGCACTCTAACGCAACACACCCCATCGCCATACATGCGAATGATTCATTCGCCATTTCCGAGGTAAAATGTTTTCTCACCCCATTAAACATGTTATAACTAGTTAGAATCTTCTTGCAGAAGGAGCAGTCTGCTGCCTCAGTACGCGCAGTCCGAACCACAGTTCGACGAGCATTTATTGTCACCCGTGCTTCCCACGCCTAATCAGCAAAGAATCGCCAGGCATTACGCGTTTCAAGACAGTAAGACATTTTCTGAAAATAAAGCTATTGAATTACATTTTTTTTTTCAATAATAGCGGTTAAGTGGTCTCCCGCAATATCGCAATCGTGCCACGTTCCCCAAAAAAATTAAAATCCTATATAATTTAAACCGTTGTTATTAATGTTTTAATGTGTTAATGTGATAATTAATTGCTTAATATTAATTTATTACATTTTATTAGAAGTTCTTTCTTCGTATATGGCAGATACAGTGAGTACTAAGTGGGACTTCAGATATGTTATTAAACTAAGGCACAAATTTTCTAAAAATAACGTAATTGGCTTACATTTTTACATCAATATTGTCACTGCGCTTGATTTTAAATTTACAGCAATATCACAGTCCTGCCAGATCAAAAAAGAAAACCAAAAAATTCGAAATGTGATTAATATTCTTAATTAATTAATTAATATTCCTAATTAATCGATTAAAATTAATTAAAGTTTTGATTAATAAATCTTTCTTCGTCTACTCTATATACAGTGCCTATTAAAAGTGGGAATGCAGAGAATTTAAAAGAAATTAAAATTTTAATTTAAAAAATAATTTGGTACGTCTTTAATCAAAACTGTAATTGAAAATAATTAGAAGTTTATGTAATTAAAATTACATTTAATTAACTTTTTCATTGTTAATTAAAATTTTAATTACGTCTACCCAATTACTAACAGGATGATATTTCTTCAAAGTTTTAATTAAAAATCTTCTACCGTTTCCTCTATTAAAGAAGTCTGGTTGTAGAGAATTTAGTTGAGTCTCGAGACATTACAGACAAATTTTCTGAAAAAAAGCAATGGCTTACATAAAAAAAAATGCTACGTAGTTTAAACCGATAATAATATTTGTTAATTAATTCATATAAATTAAAATTTTAATTAAATAACTAAATTTGTAAAATTTTGTGTAATAAAAATATAACTTAATTACATTTTTAATTAAATAATTAAAATTTTCATCACCTCTACCCCATTACTAACAGGATGATTTTTTTTAAATTCCACTTTCTGTACTGGCGAAGTTTATCTCTGTCTTTAAAAATAAAGAAAAGTTCGTCTTCCACTTGAAACATTATACATGTATCTAGTGCAATCTAGAGAAAAAACACAAAAAAGATCCATCAACAGAGAAACAATATTTGTGAAACTCAGTCAGCTCTTTAGGTAATGTTAATTTTATCAGCTGTTCTGTTTCTGTTTTTCTATATATGTATGGTTTAAAATATTTTGATTAAATTAAATTTAATTAAAATTAAATTACAACTGGAGAGAATAAGCGAACCAGCCTCCTAACATCATAATTTAATTTATTACCGAGATTTTTTGCTACATTAGAGTATAATTTGCAATAGTTGATGTAAAGACTAAGCAAGTATTGAGATTTAAAAACATAGAGTGATCCTTAGAAACTTCAAAAATTGCATTTGACTGAAAAAAAGAACAACTTAGTGTGATATGAGTACATTTGCATTTAGAGATAACTCAAATGCCCGCTCAGAAACGCTGTGTAAATTGTATACAATATGGTTCCCAATATGGAGCCCTGGGGAACTCTGGAAAGAGAAGTTCGAACAGAAGAGTCTCTAAAAAAAGTCCCACAAAGCGGAGAATATGTAAGCACGTTTCATGGTTGAGCGCAATAATCTAGATGGGTTGAAACCGTTACCATTCCTGAATGAAGAGCTTTTAAGATCTGATCAGTAACATTGAGAAGCAACGGTGTCCTTTTCGGAAACCACGCTAAGTGTGCTGAATAATGTTAATCTATAGTACTGGCAAGATACTAAGATAGGTCTTAAATATTTAAAATCTGCAATGTTGGTAGTCTTAGGTTCAGGGATGACATTGACATGCCATTCCCAGTGTTTAATACAGTAATTTATTATATGTCAAATATACCTTAACAAGTATGGACAGCACATCAGAATGAATGTCAATTCTTTTTTTAAAATGAAAACCTATATAACAATATAATTATTAAGGTACACACGTAGTCACAAATCAAATTGACGGCACTATCAATTCGGTAGGATATCGCTTGTCGAAGTTATTACCTTGGTAGCTCAAATAGAACTGAACTAAAGCTCGGGCCATCTACTCTTATATAGGCAAAGTGAAGGAATGATTTAGAATCATCTAGTGTAGAACAATTGAGAAACCATAAACTTTTGTTGGGCCGCCACTGGGTTTGCTCGCCAACTTGATTCCGTGATTACGACTAAGCAGTGCAATACATTTTTTTAGATTGGGTTTGTCAAAATGTCTCATAAATGCGTCCGATTTTTGTTTTAAGGGTTTGATAAGAAATCCGTGTTGGTCGGGATAACGGACGCCATAGAAAACCGCCTGACCTTGAAGTACTCGGACGGGAAGTTTTACCGGATCACTTTACCCCTGTTGGCATCGTCTGGTTTGGTAGAAAAGTGTCTGAACGCTCTGAATCAGTGCTTGCCGAGAGACTCCGCCCTGTCGGTGTCTTGCCGGTGGTACGCTTCGAGGAACGTCATCGGATCGGACGATATCAGCACCCGTCAGGAGTGGGATTCGTTCGTCAATTTACTGTTTGGTTAGTCGCGCGGTCGCTTGGCAACGTTTGAATCCTGCCTCGTAGAGTTTTTAGGTTACGAGGACGAGCAAGCTTCGGAGAGGCCCGAGACGCCGGGAGGAGCGGTCAAAAGGCAAAAGACATCTCCGGCGGCTACGGACGAAGATTGGACTCACATTTTGCGATCGAATCACAGTAAAATAGCCGACGATCTGTCGCAGCAACTCAACATCGCCCTCGCCAACTCGAACGATATTGTTCCCGACACGTCCGTCATTAATATTAACCCGAAATCCATGTTGTTCCCACATATTCGTATCATTCACTTCGTGTTCCATTTGCTCTACGAAGATTTTAAACTCGATATATCCCAGTCGGACAATTTGAAGCCGCTGGCCATATTGCTTTCCAAGTTGTCCAACGATTTAGGCCTTCATCACTACTCGATTCACTATTGGAAAGATTTTCCGAAAGATTTATCGGTCGGCGGCTCGACAATAGACGAGGATCTCTTCAAGTCGATTAATAATTGGCAGAAACTGAGCGAGAGGCCGGTAGACGTCATGCAACATATCCACTATTTGGTTCGGATACGTCACGTGCCTCCTTATCCTTGCTTTAAAGAGGTCAACAATCGATCCAAAGATATCGTTCAGGTAAGTCTTTTCCGGATTTTTTAGATTTCCGAATATCGACGCGCAGTGACTTTTCTATCAATGCCAAACAATGAAAATGAATTATTGAAATATAATATAAAAATACTAAACACATTCATGCAATTTTCTGACGTTTCACCAAGTCTCCTGTTGACTTCTTCAAAGCTTAACTGAAACTAATTTGCATTCTACTTTATACCTGCTGAGGGGGCGGAGCTAGAGGAGCACAAGAACAAGTGGCGGTTAAGATCCAAGAATTGATTGCATTCTAGAATTATTGTTTATAGTGAGTTTATTTGTCTTAATCTTGAGGCTCATATTCTTTTAGTCTAGTTGATATTTTTGATTTTGTTTTTCCAATGTATTCTTTGCCGCATATTCATGCTGTAAACTCCTGGTGTATCAAACGGAATTTTGTCTGTAACGGATCAAAGAGAGACTTTGTTTTCGCATTATATTACTTAAGAACTTTTGATATGTGGCCAGTAACGTTTTCAATGTAAGGAAGGACCACAGTGGCAAGTTTAGAGTTGCTTTCGCACTCATTTACTGTGGTGAAGTGTATTTTGTAACGAGACGCTTAATATTCCTGAAATTATTCGTAAGAAAGTGTTTTGATTTGGATTAAGATGATTTTACGACTCTGTAAACGAGAGAGTTGATAACCGATGATTTTTGGATGGGATGGTGAAGTGACAATGATGAAATTAATAATCACTATAGGGATCTTCCATTGTCTAAAAACGTTTTTATATCTGATATCTGATGGAGATACCCTTTGTTAAGTGATTTTCATATTTGAGGTGTTTAGCGAGAAACTCAGGCAGGTATAGATTGTTGTCGCCCTGAAACATTTTGATTTTGTATTCCCTGTGTACAGAGAGGGAATTGTGAATATTTGTCAATATGTTGGTATTACTTGCTCGTTCTGTCACTGTAATTTTTAACCAATTACTGCGCCGATTGCGGATAGACCACGAACTAACTATGTGTATGTTTGTTTGCTTGATTTTGGATGAATGAGGGAAATACAATTTTTGGCAATTTTGAATTTTTCTGTTATTTCATTTTTTGGTGCTTGTCAACGCAAAACTATTTCGAAATCGGCCTAATCCGCTTGTTGCATATAGTCCTCATTAGCTGTAAATAAGTTTTGCTCTCTTGCATAATTACATAGTTTTGCTGGCGAACCTACAAATTATTTTATTTTTATTTGTTGAAGTTTTTTTTCCCGGTATATACTTGACTTTTTTAGTGCTTGGTTGTTTTCGAAATTGTTATGCAAGTCTTTTCCCGAACAACTGTTCATCCGTTTTTACTGTTTTGGCTAACTTGGCGCAATTAGTATATAGATATGGTAATATTTTTTATATATATATAATCATATAATTATCTTTTTCTGTTAGTCTAACTATGGTTTTAATTACTTTATATGGATTTTTAGTGAAATGTCACAAACAAGTATTTTATTTATGCTTCAGTGGATTTTTGCACATTTATTTTATTTTTTTGTTACTATTCTGTTATTGCGTTTTACTAAATAAAATTATTATTATTATTATGATTATTATTAAGATATCAGCCTGAGCGCGCAGGTTTTCTGCAATGTTAGGTATGATTTTTTATCAATAAGAATATCTAGGAATGGGAGGTTATTATTAATTCAATATATGCATAGAGTTTAAATGGTTATAAAAATCTGAGAGGAATTCTTGCCGATGAGGCGAAATAACACAAGTGTCATCGGCGTAGCGTTTCCATAGTTTCAGTTTTAGATGAAAAGTTTCTAGGGCTTTCTTTTTAAAAGCCTCCCATATAGTCCGGGACCCTGGATCTTTTTTCAAAATGCTAAGCAACAAGCAAATTCTTTGGAAATCGTTTCATTTCATCAAGACGCCTAACCTTTTCCTTCCTTCCCAAAATTGTTGTATCAGGTAGCTAACTATACACGCAGGTATAAAATGGCAACAGTTTAGTTTTTACCTAAATCTATAGATATTGAAATATATAATTTGAAATTAAATTTGGCCTACAAACAAATAGGTTTGGTATAGGGTGGAAACCGCCTCAAAGTTGTATCTATTATTTATTTATAAAAAGTGATGAACAACATGCTAAATTGTTTATTGTAGCTTGCTAATAATTTTTATAAACAAATGATCACATTGTGCTACAAATAAACTGGTAGGATTTTTTAGTCCTACACATTAAAGTTGTTGACATCAGCAACTGTAGGAGACCAAAATTAAATGAAACTTTATGACATTTTCTATCTAAATCAATTTTTATGTATAGGTAGATTTCGCTAGTCCGACAAAAAATAGGTTGCAAGTTCGGCCCTTCAATATTATTCCTGCTTAACCTCTAAATTACGGTCTAACTTATAAATTTAGTTGAGCGATTAACTTTTTTTGTTCTTAAAATATTCCTACCGCCATTATATATGATGCTGTTTAATACAAATGAGTTTAATTAAGTTGTTTCATTATTATTTATAATTTAAGACATCAACTTTTTTTTCATATTTTTTATGAATATTAATTGTCATTATCAAAAATTTTTAATCCATGAAAATTATGAAAAAAATATGTCATTATTCATAAAACAATAACTCATATTACTATTTTTTTTCTTTTCACTTAAACGACAAAACAAAAATAAAAAAAATCAACATTTTCATTTTACATTTACTTAAAAAATAAAGCATAAACTTACTTTTCATAACAAATATTTAGCTTTTACTCTGAACTCCTTGTAACAAGAGTGGTAGCCTATTACATCGTCATCCCAATGGTCAGGCAATTCAGCATCATTATATTTGTGGTTATGATGCTTTCGAGCGTTTAGATACTTTTTGCACTCGAGATAAATGTTTTTATTAAATTTTTTTATCGTCTCTATTTTTTCACGAAAATTAGGTTTATCACGGAGTATATTACAAAGAAAATACTCCATTATCACTTTCATAATTAAATGTTATAAAAGAAAATGAATTAACACGTGTTGACAAGCCAAGTAAACAAAACTTTTTAATGCACAATGTATATTGTATGCGTGTGCGTGTGTACATATACACGTATATTCGAATATACACGTATGTACATGTAACCACGTTTAAGTTAGGGGCAATTTTCGAAATTTTCCAGTGTAGGACTGAAAAACCTACCATTTTATTTCTAGGATAAATGTTGTTTTAGATTATTTATCTGATTTATCTCAAAACTTAGTCAAAAAATGAAATAAATAAAATAAAGAATAAGCTGTTGCTGATCACTTTTACATAATAATCAATTTGACATGATTTGATACCTGTTCATTAATTCAGCTACCTGTTTTGCAACTTTTCGCAAAATAATAGCTGGGCGTCTTATTAAAACGAATCTACTCACAAAAATCTAGGCGGTTGCGGATGGTTTTTAAAAATAGTTTTGTACAACAACTTTAAAGTGTAGGACTGAAAAATCCTACCAGTTTATTTGTAGGACAATGTGATCATTTGTTTATAAAAATTATTAGCAAGCTACAGTAAAAAATTTAGCATGTTGCTCATCACTTTTTATAAATAAATAATAGATACAACTTTGAGGGGGTGGCCACCCTATACCAAACCTATTTGTTTGTAGGCCAAATTTAATTTCTAAAAACTAAACTCTTGCTGATCATTTTGGTATGGTAACTAAATTGCGTGTATAGTTAGCTACCTGATACGACAATTTTCGTAGAGGAAAAGGTTGGGCGTCTTGATGAAATGAAACGATTCCCAAAGAATTAGCTTGTTGCTTATCATTTTGAAAAAAGGTCCAGGGCTCCCAGGGCTAATAAATAAATTTGCGAATACTGCCAATAACCGAAAAACCGCAGCTGATATATTTTCGTAAATTTGGCCGTTGCAAGAAAAATACAAAAAAACTAGTTTCATTTAAGCTTGGACGAAGTAAACTGGATAATTGAAATAATTTTGCAAAGTGCCCTTTTTCAAATTATTTACTCTCAATCTCTGATGACCTGCCATTAACATTACATATTGCTCTACACAGTTGCTAATTGGGTTCTAGTTGTGCGGGATACTGTCCGAGATCAACCGGAACAGACCGTCCAACGTAGGCCTCGGCAGTTTCATCAAAGAGGTAAACGAGTCTGTGAGTCACGCGAGCTCGCAACACAAAAGCGTTCACGCCGAAGCTACCACCGTCGAGCAGGTCGTTTTGATGATGGTCGAAATGAAACTGGACACCAAATACATCGAGACTCTACCGGCGGGCGTCGCATTTTTAATTTACAACGCCCTGTGGAAATGCAGGGAGCGGCCTCCGTCCGATTGGCCGGTCGAAGCTTATCGACTGGTCGGACGAGACGATTTGGTAGCGCACGCGCAGAAAGTCGAGATGGAAAAGGACAAATTGTTCCAAGAGAAGATGAACATATGCTTCCAATTACAAGAGACGATGCCCAATACGAAACAGGAGATCGCGGATATCGACGGGATGGAAGATATCGACTCTAGTCTGACGCGGATGCGATTCAGCGACGACGTGAGAGTAATGGAGGCACGGAAAATGCTAGCCAGTTCCAAACCGGTGACTATCAACCTGACGCAAAGACCCGACGTGTCGGATCACGATTTTATCGAGGAACAGGAGAAACACCTTTACGGTATTTGCATCAGGACGATGGCATTGCCGGTGGGCAGGGGCATGATCACGCTGAGGACGGCCACGCCCGTCATAACCGAGCCTCTGTCCGCACCGGTCTTGTGTCTAACTGGCAAAGCGCCCCCTATGGGCGTTACCGTAGAGCTCAACCATATAGATACGCCTGCCGACATGAACCTGTGGCCGTTATTCCATAACGGGGTGGCGAACGGTTTGAGAATTACGCCGGACGCCCAAAACATCGACAGCACCTGGATCGTTTTTAATAAACCCAAAGGTAGGTAAAGTATAAATGGCTTAATGGACTTCAGTGGTTGACTAATTATAATATATCCACTCCCCTTCATTACTATAGAACTCGGCAATACTTGTTTCTCTTGACACTGGCATTTTCATCGGATATCTTCCTTCCTGTCCCTTCCTTTGCTGCTCATATTTTTTCTTGGACAGTCTAACAATATGTGAGTCAGAACCAGTAAAGTTGTAAAAGTTTGATTGTCGTTGGGTCAGGTGGTGCGGAACCTCTCATGGAACACGCGGGGTTCTTGATGGCTCTAGGCCTCAACGGGCACCTGAAAAACTTGGAAGTACTCAGCACTTTCGACTACTTCGGAAAACTAACGGAAATGACTAGGCTGGGGATTCTGTTGGGTTAGTACATCTCCTAGTCATCGGTACTCGTCCGTAACGTGGGCATTGCAGGACTAACCGCTGCTTTTAGAGGCAGCTGCAGCCAATTTCTGACCAAGATACTCTCCATACACGTGGAAGGTCTGCAGCCGCCCACTTCTATGGAGGTGGACGTGTCGCAAAACTTACAGGTTACGGGCCTGCTGGGAATAGGGTTGCTTTATCAGGGTAGCGCCCATCGGCACATAACCGAGGTACTTTTATCCGAAATCGGAAGACCGCCGGGTCCGGAAATGGAGAACAGCGTCGACAGAGAGTCTTATTCGTTAGCGGCAGGGCTGGCGCTCGGGTTGGTAATGTTAAAGTACGGCGACCAGCCGGCAGGCATGTCCGACTTAAACGTTCCGGATACGTTGCATTATTTCATGGTTGGTGGCGTAAAACGACCTTTGACGGGCTCTCAAAAAGATAAGTATAAGACGCCGTCTTTCCAAATCCGAGAGGGTTCTTCCGTCAATTTGGACGTCACCGCCCCCGGGGCCACTCTGGCGCTCGGCATGATGTACATGGGCACGTGCAACAAGGCGGTGGCCGATTGGCTGGCCCCGCCCGACACCCAGTACCTATTGGACTTTATTAGACCGGATTTTCTCATGCTTAGGGTGTTGTCCAGGTGTAAGTATCGTGGGTCAGGCGGGAGGCCGGTAAGTGTGGTGCCGTTTTCAGGTTTGATCATGTGGAATGACGTCGAGGCCTCGAAGGAGTGGGTGGAGAGCCAAGTACCGTCGACAATACTGCCTCACTGCATGGTCACGCCCTCTGAAACGTCGAACGTAGACTACGAGGCTATGAAGTAAGTTACTTTCTGGTTCTTATTGTTACTAGGAAGCGGTGTGTATTCATTTACACTTTAAAGCGTATCTACTAAAATTTCTGTTAGGACTATTAGTTACCTGAATGAATCAATGCGTAGCCCCACCTTTTGTCAGCATTTTGTTCCCTTATAGATGACAAAATTATAAGCGATTGACATTGACGACCCATACCTCGAACCAGATGCCTACTCTGTGCTTGTGTGTTAGTCCATATTTCCTGATAATGTTTTCTGCATCATCCAAGGAAGCAGGTGGGTTTTGGGATCTTAAAATTCACCTGATTTAAATAATTTTGTACTATTCTTCTACTTCTCGAATAACTCGTATAGAGACGTGAACAAAATTCGGTCCCAGGTTTTAGCAATCTAGTTCACATGTCGTAGCGCGATTTTGAGCGTCGTGGCTCAATCGTGATGCACGCCTTCTCCATGCTTGTCGATCCTCTAGTGTTGTCACTGATATTTTTGTAAGGCCCTTAATTTATAAACCTGTAGTTCTTTTGTCATCTTCTTTTCCTGGGACCACAATTTTTGTAAGTCTTGAGAAGTCTCACTTTGCTGGTCTTTTTGATATTATGATCTTTCCACATTTTTTCCAGTTTATCCAAAGCTTCCTTTGCCATTCCAATCTTTGTCCTGGCTCAAAGTATACGACTGTTTTTTTTTTTTAATTTAGACTGATTGTACGTATGTCTTAAACGTTTTTTTTATATCGTAGTCAGGCCTACTGTAATATAGTGGCGGGGGCGTGTTTCGCCTTGGGGTTGAAATACGCGGGTTCGGCAGATCCTGACGCGTTCAAAACCCTACTATTCTTCAGCCACATGTTCACGTCGCTGACCGGCAAGTCGATAGCGGAACTTGCAGGCAAAGCCACCATAGAGACTTGCCTAAACGTTCTGCTGTTGTCCGCGTCCCTCGTAAGCCTCCCCTAACGTGCATTTTAGCCATGTACAAGTTGTGGTTCGCAGGTAATGGCCGGCACTGGCAATTTGGAAGTGATGCGTCTTGTGAGACACCTGCGCAGGCGCGTGGGCGTCGCCAACAGCGCCATAGTCACCTACGGTTCGCACCTGGCCATCCACATGGCTTTGGGGATGCTATTCCTCGGCGGGGGGCGGTACACTCTCTCCAATTCGCCTCAGAGTGTCGCCGTGTTGATATGCGCCCTCTATCCGAAGTTTCCCACCCACAGCAACGACAACCGGTACCACCTGCAGGCTTTCCGTCACCTTTACGTGTTGGCGGTCGAGCCGAGGCTGGTGATACCGAGAGACGTCGATTCGGGCGACATCTGTTACGTAAATTTGCGGGTGATAAAGTGCGACGGTAGTGAGGCGACGGTAAAGGCACCCGGACTCATACCCGACGTCGACACCCTCGTCAAGGTGATGGTCGACGACGAGCGTTACTGGCGGGTGGTGTTCGAGAGGGGAAGGAACTGGGATCTCTTGGTGTAAGATTTCGTTAATCTAAAGGAGTAGAGGTAGTAAAAGTCATAACAAATTTAGATATTAACGCGTTGATTTTTGGAATTTCGTTCCCGTAGATTTCCAAATTTTTACACGCTCGATTTTGCAGTAAAATCTTGTCGACGACGGATTATATCGAGGTGAAGCAGAGGGCGGGCTGTTTGAGCTACGTGGCGGATAAACTGGGCTACCACAGCGAACTCGCGCGTACCCTTACACATTCGGCGTTGGTGCCCTGGGACCCGTCTGCCTCGTCGATCGTGTCGTTTTCGTCGGACTATGTGGTGAAAAACTTTTGTGACGCCATATTGGCGTCGGACCCGAAGAGGTGCGGCAAATCGGAAGAACGACTAGCCCAGACGCTCACCAGGGTGACCTACGAGGCCGTCGTCAAAGACAAACTGATGATCGTTCCCATTTTTGGCAATCTGGTTAAGGTGAGTTACTTGGTGAACCTTCTTGTCTGATTTTAAATCAAGGTGGGTGTATTTTTGAAACAGTAACGGTGACCTTGTGATGATTTCTGCGAGTAATTCAAATGTACGGTTTCAAATATTCCGAAACTACCTTCCCAAAGTCAACAGACTGTAAAAGTACGTCTCTCCATTAAACATATAGTATTTTCCAAAAGTGGCGCACCGTTTTTTTGACCCCAGTACCCGTTTCGAGCCCGCTAGAAGTAATCTTCAGTTAACACTTCTTATAAAAAAACCGTCCTCCAAACATTTAACATTGTTAAAAAAGAGGAACCAATCAGTTTTCCGAGTTTCTTTATTTCTATTAATTAACGTACATTTACATTTTTATGTCGAGGTAAGCTTCTTATTGCTTGAGAAATGTTTTGCCATTCCAAGGGAACAACATGTCCTAACTCTTGCAATCTAACTGAGGCAGATACATGTACTAACGTTTTTAGAACTTTCCAAAATTTCTCTCTTCGGCTGCGCGATGGCCACTCCAAGATCTGGACGTTGTTTTCATTTAAGTAACCCACAACAAAACATGAAGGTGTCAAGGTGCGCCGTTGAGTTCATTTAAGTAATTCAAAATAGTTCTTGTAATGACATTTATCTTGCATGAAAATGAAAGTGCCTCCTATAAGTGGTTGAAACGGCATTACGTGATCTTGAGGTAGAATTATGCCTTCATATAACTCGAAACTAATTTTTTTAGAACATCGCAAAAGTTCCGCATTGGATCTAAGCTTGGGATGCGTGGTCGTCGTAATAATGTTGTTGAGATAGAAGTCTGTCTTCATAGAAGGCCAAACAAATGTTTTTAGAACATCCCAAAGGTTCTCTATTGGATCGAAGTCTGGGCTGCGCGGTGGCCACTCCAAGACCTAAACTTTGAGTTAATTTAAGTAATTCAAAACAGTTTTTGTAATGCGGGGCTTTGCATTATCTTAACTTAACTTTTCTTTAACTTTTCAACTTACCTAAGTGACATACAGAAATGAAATCTTTGTTTTTGTTTGCGCTTCGTCCGTTGCAGACAGTAAAAGATTTCGAACGGGACCCGAATCCCATGGGGTTGCGGCAACTGAAGATCATCTTGGACGAGGTTCTACGGAAGGGGAACCGGTCGAGTTTGTTGTCGAAGGAAACGGTGCTGTCGCTGAAGCAACAGGTGGTGAGGGTGTTGGACGGCTGGGAGGACTCGTTGAAGGACAAGCTGACGGGGTTCGTTAGCAGAGGAAATTTCGCTAGCGATAATCCTTCGGCGTTGGCCGCTTACGTCGTATTTTACGATATACCATACGACATGCGGGTGGATCGGGAAGACCAGTTGGACGTTTTGCTGCGCCTGAGGGAGGATTACGTTTTGGGTGAAACGATAGCCAAAATTTTGAAGGTTTTTCGAGCCGGAAGCGCGACAAAACCCTAGTTCCCGTGAAGATAGTCTTAGGTTTAATGTATCCTAGGCAGTTTTGTAAATAAAAGCCTATTTATGGATTAGAACTTTTATTTGGGAACAAACGTTCGGGATTTTACAACATGGGAGGTACGGGGAGTGGGAATGGTTTATTCTGTTCTATTATTATAACAAAAGTAGTAACTCCGGCACGGTTTCTAAACACTCGAAAATTTTTTAGACCGAAAATATTTCCTTGTGCCACTCCTTTGGAAATACGGACATAATCAGCACTGTCCCTAAATGAAAATACTTCAATTTAATAAATAACAAATGGTGGTCAATTGTGTCAAAGGCTTTGCTGTAGTCGAGCAATATTTAACAATTTCGGTGTTATCAACTGGACTCCTACAGGATTCAACAATTTTACTCTCAAAAAATTTAGGAAGCAACGAGCGCAGCATCCTCGGTCAGGGATAGAAAGGTTCTATTTATTACGGAAACATGGAGGAAAGGGTATACCTAATATTGCCGACAGACATGCTCGAGCAAATATTTTCCATGAGATGTCAAGAACAAGCCAACTTCATCGGGTAGTAGCAAACGCTGACAGGAATCTAACGCCACTGAAGGCATCGGATCAGATCTTTGACTCCACAGCAAATAGGAAGACACTAAACCAACTTAAAGACCAATGGCCACGCAATGCGTTACATGGGAGATACGCCCACACTATCAACAGTAAGGGGATGGACACTATTGCGTCTTCAGCCTATTTAAGAAGAGGAAATGTATTCCTCGAAACGGCTACCAGAGTATACAAAAAAAGGATACTGAATGATAGATGTATGTGTGGAAAGGAAAGTATCTTGATCACCTGGCTGGATGTTCTGTATTAGCGCCTAAACCCTACCTCGATGGACATAACCTAGTTTCTGGTATAATACATCAGACGCTAACGTTCAAATTTATGAACATAAAAGACACAACACACACAAGATCGCGTTATTTAGTCTATGTTGGGTTTGAACAATAATCAATCAATCAATCAAATATCAATGACCCATTTTTTTCGCCCTATTAGTGCTTTGAAAAAGAACAATCTGATATATATATATATATATATATATATATATATATATATATATATATATATATATATATATATATATATATATATATATATATATATATATATATATATATATATATATAGTTTCAAGTATTCAATATATTCCGGGATATCATCCGCTCGTTTGTTGAACTCCGACTGAAATCCTGCAGACGTTTCGCCAAGATCTCACTTCATCGGAGCATCTTCAATGCTCGCGCTCCGAAAACATTTCGAACACTCGTGTGTATTTATTAAAATAAACGGGGGTTTGGTCACTGGAACCAATTTTATTAAAATTTTATTGTTAAAAAGTGAAAAGGCAAAACGGTTTTTTTTTCGGATCTAGGTTGTTCTTTACAATGAAAAAACTAAAAAAAAATTAATATATGAGTGAAACCAAAATCAGAAAAAAGAAATAGACTCAAAATTTTGTAGTAATTTTTATTGTTAAGTGCTTCAGTCGTAAGTATTTTGTATAATTAAACGGTTAAAACTTTTAGGTTTGGCAAAAATCCAAATTTTTGCTGTTTCGGGTGGGATTTCTGAATATTTCCCTTGGAGCCACTTAATGCACTTCGGAACATTGAATCGTCTAAGATCTCAGCAGACGGCACTAAGAGGTTTTTCACTTAAATATCTAGTTTTAATAAGTATATTACAATTGTTTGACTTTTTTATATTGTTGTTGAAGTCATCGTGACATTATATATTTAATTGCTACCTCTCCCTATCTAAATAGTTTATAAATTAACGAACAAAACTCACATACTATGTAAAAATAATAAAATATAGTCTTGAAGCAATAATAAATATATTTTTCAAAGATTTTCTAACCATCATTTTCATACAATCCTCAAAATCAAATTTAAACACACCTTTTTGTTGCAATTATTCGTTTCAACGCCTGGGTACTATTCAACAAGTGACGTCATGCACCGATAATAAGCTATTTGCAGATTATATTTTTATATATACAGGATGTTGCAGAAATCACCGACAGACAAAAATTATATATTTTTAACGGAACACCCTGCATATTAAAGGCTTGGTAAAATCTCCTAAAAATTCTGCACATTTCTTGCATAATATGTCATATACCAGAATCCAATAGTTTGTGAGATATATGCTCTTTGTACATAAAAGCAACATATCTTAGGTGGCTGTGAAGTAGGTCGTTAACAAAAAAATAAAATGTTAATAAATGACAGTGACAGTTACAGATTTAGAAAAACTTGCGTATTGTTTATTATAAAATGTAAGTCCCAGAACAAAAAAAAAAACTTTCATCGAATCTATGAAAAATTTCAACAAACATTTCGCCTAGCCAGAAAGAAAGAAATGAAGATGGTGAATTCAGGACTTTACTAAAAGTTGAAGAAAATCTCAATATTTTCGTACGAAAAATATAGGAAAGCCTGAAAGAAGAATTTATTGATGAAAAAATTACATCTTACGGGAAGATACAAAAAAAAAGAAAAAAGTTTCAGTTTTGCCATACGATGTTGGGAACAATTAGCAGAAATGATGGTTATTTAAAAAAATTTTTAATTTTCAATCACAGGTATCATAAATCGAAAGAACAGTAGACAGCGGCCACAGTAAATCCTCATTGCCACCGAGAATTTCAATTTTAAGAATGTCGAAACTGTAAATATGTGGTGTGCTATTTTAAACATTTCTATGACGTTACTTTAAACGGTAATGGCTATCTAAATTTTATTCAGAAGTAAGGAACCTCGCCTTTCAGCAAGATGACCCACTCATTATGTAGTATTTGTTAAAGACTATTTAAATCAAAGGTTTAATGAATAGATTGGAAAAGATGGAACAATAAAATGACCAAAATGGTCATCCAACAGTCCTAACCTGAAACCGATGGATAGATTGTTATGGTTAACTCTAAAGTGTCATCTAAACGCAAATGCTATAGAAAACAGAGATCATCTAAAAAACCTGATTAGAACAGAAGTTGTATTGTATTGAAGGAAATGGAGGAACCAGTTGTATATTATATTTACCTAATTTAGGGTTTTTTTTTAATAAACGTTTCCAAAATTCATTATTTTCTTTTATTTGTTGACAATTTAGGTTGCCTACAGTACAAAGTATAAAAAAAAGCAACCTGGAGTAACAAAAATTTCGACATCAAGAAAGCAGTTATGAGCATTAAATATATTTTGTAATCTAGTATCGGAGAGTTCTTTCCTATGTTTGTTCGGTAGTGGTCGACATCAACTAGAGTCCTGTCTCTTGCGTTCTGCTTTGGTATTCGTAGGTTAATCTTTGATAAGAGGTAATAGTCTAAGAGCCAGTGGGCGACTACCTGCATGTATTTGACCAGACCTGGGTTTTTGTACATTGAGGCCCCTATACCTACCATACATGAGGTGGGGACCCACTAAGCCCAAAGCGGTGGACCCAGGTACTGCGCAGGTGAGACAGGTATTGATTTTTGGCGAATTTTTAATCTATTTGACCACGGCTGCCGTTTTGAAATCTTAAAATATATTATTATTATTATCGAAAAATAATAATGGCAGACCATTGGCATGCGGTTAACATTATGGCAGACAGTTTTGGAAATGCTCAAAAAAATAAAATTTTGAAAGTATTTGACCAGATCTGCCATTGAGATATATTATTCGTTATCGTCTTAAAAGCTTATCATAATAACGGCAGACGTTTTTATTGAGTACACTCCTCACTAGATAACAAAATCTTTACTATTACCCGGTCAGATGTATATGTATTACAATCGCTGATTTACATAAATTTAGCTCACTTATAATTGATTTTATCACTATATGTATAGAAATTAATACTTTTTTTGTACTTTATATACTAAACTTTATAAGATTGATGATAAATGAAGTAGATATATTACGAAAGGTGTCGTAGTCATGTTTGTCGTAGGTTAACTTTTCTTCATAATCCATAGAATCGGACTCTAAAAATAAACCATACATTGTAAAGTATAAACAATTAGTAAATTGATCCGAATATATTTGATCAAGAATTAATTTTTATCAACTTACCAGGGACATTAGTAATTAAGTCGCTAATAAGGTTGAAGGTTGCTTTTTGTAAGCGTTTTTCCAAATAGTTGAAATGTAATGGGCTCTCAGAAGTTATTGGTAGAGTTCATTCTTGCATGGTAGTATTGAGGTTGCGTCAAAATTGTGTATTTTATTACTAAAATTTTCGTTCAGATCCGAAACTTTGTAACTACTCACGGTACTACAGAGGTACTACAATAACTGATCTAATTCAGCGCCAATATCTTTTTCTACGACTTCATCTGTCTCAGAAATGTTTACGTCTTCTACAAGATTATCAAGTACTATTGTATCATCAGTTATTGAGCTATCAACTAATGTTGATGGTTGCTCAGTTGCAGACGACGACATAGTGGGTTGTAATACAGCTTCTTTGTTGAGATCGGTAGCGTTTTTTTTAAGCCGTAAACGCTTTGTAACAACTACTGTGATATACAGAATCAAAAATTTCGTCCGGTAGAATTATTTCATTGTATTTTAATTTATAATGTTTTCTTAACCTCAAAATTTGTCAACAGTCTCTGCTATGATACAAAAAACATACTTCACTAGTTCTTTTTCAATCGACATAATGTCAGAGATATTTAACGAATAATAGTTTAATTAAAGAAAAATAACATAAAGCAACACTGTGTATTTTATTAAATTCACTTAACACGAGGCATCTGTATAGAGATTCACAAACATACTGAAAACGTCTGGCAAAAACCGTTAGGTTCGGATTATTATAACAGAGCCATCTCAGGTATAAGCCCTAAATTATTTAAGTGGTAGTAGCTATAAAATAAAATACTATAAGCTGGAATGAGTAGAATAGTAATAGATAGGAGAAAGAGATAAGATAAAAAAAAACTATATGCAGTGTATGTCCGGGTAGTAGTAAGGATTTTGTTATCTACTGAGTGTACTCAATAAAAACGTCTGCCGGTATTAATATAAGTTTTTAAGACTATAACGAATAATATATCTCAATGGCAGATCTGGTCAAATACTTTCAAAATTTTAATTTTTTGAGCATTTCCAAAACTGTCTGCCATAATGTTAACCGCATGCCAAAGGTCTGCCATTATTATTTTTCGATAATAATAACAATATATTTTAAGATTTCAAAACGGCAGCCGTGGTCAAATAGATTTAAAATTCGCCAAAAATCAAAACCTGTCTCACCTGCGCAGTACCTGAGTCCACCGCTTTTGGCTTAGTGGGTCCCCACCTCATGTATAGTAGGTATAGGGGCCTCAATGTACAAAAGCCCAGGTCTGGTCAAATACATGCAGGTAACCGCCCACTGGCTCTTATACTATAAGATCTATTGCGTTCTTTCGTTTTGGAGAGTTAGAACTTGAAATTTTAATCTAGTGTGGTTGTAGTTGTGGTTTTCAACATCAGTGTTAGTTTTATATGCCAGATATCTTAAAAATCTGTTTTGTACTCATTCCAAACGCGTGATGTGGTTGTTGTAATTAGTATTCCAAATGACTGAAGCGAATGAAAGTTTACTATGGACAAACGCATAGTACAGTGCAAGAAGAGATTTGGGGTTTTAAAATCTATTGAGTTTCTTTTTATGAAACCGGTCGTTTTATTCGATTCGATTATTGGTCTGTCCATATGAGTCCAGTTTTCGTCCAGCGTTACCCCTAGATCTCTAATCTCCGCCACTTGCTCTAAGTTGGTGTTATTAATATTGTATGTTGACTTTTTTTTTACATTTTTGGTGAAGGATATGTTAAAACATTTGGCGGGATTCAGGAAAAGATGCTTTTAGGTTAAAAGCGAATAGATCTCAAAAACTTTGGATTTGAGTATTTATACAAGTACAAGTATATTATACAAGGAAATGTGCAGAATTTTTAGCGGATTAAGAGTATAATACCTAATACAGAGTGTTTCATTAAAAAATATATAACTTTTATCTGTGATTGATATATCTTTGAAATATTTAAACAACTTTTATAATTGCGCTTTTTATCCCAAAAGTTCAATGAACAGTTAAAGGGTGGGGGACACTATGAATGATTAACCGATACAGTTTGAACAGAACCGCCTCTGGTACTGCCACGCTGTGGCGGTTTCTCCCTGGTCTAATGCTAACAGTGTGCCTTGGACTACACGTAGGGTAATTTAGAGAAATACTCTTGAAAAGGGACACATCCGTTTTCGAAACGCCCCCGTATAAAAACGGGGGGTTCGCGTCGCGTCTAGGGAAATTTCATCCCCAGCGTGTGCACGCGCCCCGTCAGTCCCCGGAATATTGATTTTTCGCCCGCCCTCGTCGCGTTGGAAAACCGGAATCGACAGTCAGTTTCCGTGTGTGCGACGAATTATCGCGAAAATGTCGGCGTCTGACGGTCCCGGAGTGTGAAACGGGACGGCTATGGGCGTCGCGACGGGCCAAACACGAAAGCCCGAGAGTAGATAAAAGCGGGGCGACGGCCGCTCGTCTACCGTAAAAAAATAAGTAAATAAATAAATACGCGTTATTTATTCACTTCCGTTCGGGAAATGGTCGTGGAAAAGTGCGGAGGATCGTCCTCATCGTCGTCAGGGAATGTCGCGTATGTCCAGGGTCGACCCCGTGACGTCGTAACGACGATGTGACGGGCAAAGCGTGCTGCTGCTGCTGCGAACACGGCCAAGTACAAAATGCAAAAGGAAAACTCGGGCCCGTCGCCGGACGTCCAACACCAATATGTTGGTCCGTACAGGCTGGAAAAGACCCTCGGTAAAGGCCAAACCGGTAAGTTCACCCAGTGGAATAACGTCAGTGACATAGATAAACCAGATGACAACGCAGAACTTACTCTAAGTCTACAAGAAACTATTATAGTAACTAATAGATTGTCGAGAATTCTTGTTTTTGATAGAACTTGAAGAAGGCTCGCTCAACCTGCTTAACGCTCCATTTCATAGAACTAATTATGGTTTACCGTCATCGCTAACACGCTTTTCGGATAGTTCGTGACTATTGCTTGTAAATAGTCACGTAGACTTCTTTAATAAAGATTTTATGAAATTTATTTCCTAAGTAACTACTGATAAAGCTTTACTTACTTACTTTACTTTATACTAAGAAGCTTCATAGTTTTGGTTATGTAGTTGTTCTTTTACTCATATAATTTAAATCGTTATATCGCAAATAATGAAAAATATTAAGACCAATTTAATTGTTTCAAAATTCGAAAATATTTAATTTATACATAATACATAATACGTAGGATAACACAAAAAATATTGCAATAAACTATAAACTATTATTAGCAATTGATAATGGGCCGTATAGGTTGGAAAACACCCTCGGCAAAGGCCAAACCGGTAAGTCCATTCCATGAAAGAACGTCCGTGACATAGATAACGTAGAAGCTATTGTATAAGTTACTCATGCTCCACTTAAAGTCTACAAGAAACTGTTATCCGCACATTAGCTATGAGAAACGAGGCACTTTTACACAACAATGCAAATCAAAAGAGTATATGGGTAGCTATGAGGACTACGGGATTATTATATTTGTATAAAATAACATATATATTAACCTGCTAATAGATTGTCAAAAATTCAAGTTTTTGATAGAACCTAAAGAGGACTCAACCTGCTTAACGCTCCACGTCATAGAGCTAATTATGGTTTACCTTGATCCCTAACACGCTTTTCAGATAGTTCAAATAAATTGCTTACCAATAGTCATGTAGTATTCTTTTATAATGATTTTGAAATTTATTTCCGATTTAACTGCTAATAAAGCCTTACAATACTTTACTTAATACTAAGCGTAATAGTTTTGGTTAGGGAGTTTTTGTTTTACTCATATAACTTAAATCGTTACATCGCAAATAATCAAAAAGATTAAGACCAAAGTAGTTGTTTCAAAATTCGAAAATGTTTTATTTCCATTTAGACTTCTTTCGATCCTAATCTCCTCCCAAGTGTCAAAATTAATACCTATAATACAAAATACGTAGGATAAAAGAAAAATCATTATAATAAACTTATAACAAACTATTATTAGCAATTGATAATGGGCCGTACAGGTTGGAAAAGAGGCTCGGCAAAGGCCAATTCGGTAAGTCCATCCTATGGAATAACGTCAGTGACAGATAACGCAGAGGACAACGCAGAATTTATTCATGCCCCACTCAAAGTCTGCAGGAAACTATTATCCGCATGGTAGATATTAGAAAGGAGGCACTTTTACATCACGATGCGCAGTTGTGAGGACTACGGGACTATTTATCCTAAATGGACTAATAAATTGTCCAGAATTGCCGTTTTTGATAGAACATTCAAAGGAATCATTCCATTTCATAGAACCAATTATCTTAACCTTTTTCTGTGGCACGCTTTTCAGATAGTTAAAATAAATTCCTTACGAACAGTCATGTAGATAGATCTCTTTTATAATAATTTCATGAAATTTATTTCCGATTTAACTACTGATAAAGCCTTAGTACAAATTTATTTCCATTTAAAATTGTGTCGATCCCAACTTCACTAAAAGTGCCGCATATTGTCAAAAATTAATACATAATACGTAGGACAAAACAAAATTTATTTTAATAAACTATTATCGGCTTAGAAAAAACCGAAACCGTCGGCAAAGGTCACACCGAGAAGTCAGCCACGTGAAATAAGGTCAGTGACATAGATAACGCAGAAGATATTGTATAACTTACTCATGCTGCACTCAAAGTTTACAAGAAACTATTATTCCCACGGTAGTTAGTAGAAACGTAAAAATACATATATTATCCTAAACGGACTAATAGATTGGGCAGAATTGCAGAAATCCATCTCGTTGACGCTCCATTTCATAGAAGGAATTATGGTTTCCCTTCATCTGTGGCACGCTTTTCAGATAGTGCAAATACTTTACTATATATATATATATATATATATATATATATATATATATATATATATATATATATATATATATATATATATATATATATATATATATATATATATATATATATATATATATATATATATATATATATATATATATATATATATATAGTTGAAAAATATGCTTTTCTTGGATCCTTGTATATTTTTTATAGGATGATTCTTAGGGTTTGGTCCACAGTGAACAAAACTCACAAATAATTTTAAAACACTGTAATTGTCATTGACGTTTCGACCGGCAACCCAGGTCTTTCTCAAAAACTGCAAAACAAAGGACAAAAAAAGCGTCTAACACAGAATATCTTAAACAGTAGACATATACGAATTTAAAAATTACAAATATTACAAAAACAAATGACATATATTAGTCATACTCACAAATTTATTATTTTTTTTAAATGTCTATTATTAGCGCTGTTTGTGAAAAAGTACCACAACATACATCATTGCCAAAAACAATAACGTTCTTGCTTTGGCGTACGAATCACAAATAGAAGTGGAAAATAAACATTCATTGTATCTGATGTCTTTTTTTTTTCCCTCTTAGTTTTTATTTATTTATTTTTTTAGAGTGTACGTTTGTGTTAAGTTTAAGATCTACTGATACGCAGTGAAGCATCTGAGCATTAAAATGGTCTACTTTAACAATTCGAAATAGATTTCACTCAGGTGTTTTATGTCGGTTTTCGCGTTTATGGCGTTTTTATTCCTTTGAATATGTATCATCTCAATTATTTCCCTTTTTTGTGTGTTTGGTTCGGTAGCAAGTATTTTTGTGTCATCGAAGTTAAAGGTATGTGTTTTCTCCGTTATATGGCTACTGATGGCTGTTTTATTTTTTTTGTCGTACTTATGACCATTGATGCGGTTCTTCAACAGTTGGCTAGTCTGTCCAATGTACACTTGGTCACAGTCGTCGCATGGTATTTGATATACAATGTGACTTTTTTTATCTTTGGGTATTGGTGTTTAAGATATTCTGTGTTAGACGCTTTTTTTGTCCTTTGTTTTGCAGTTCTTGAGAAAGACCTGGGTTGCCGGTCGAAACGTCAATGACAATTACAGTGTTTTAAAATTATTTGTGAGTTTTGTTCACTGTGGACCAAACCCTAAGAATCATCCTATAAAATATATATATATATATATATATATATATATATATATATATATATATATATATATATATATATATATATATATATATATATATATATATATATATATATATATATATATATATATATATATATATATATATATATAACAAAACTAAAAGCAACATCAAAATAACCCATATCAATGAAATACGCTCATAAAACTTGAGAAATCATACTGACATACAATTACAGAATGCCAGAACAAATCCAATAAGTGCCGCCTCAAATACATACAACCTAATGCGTAACACTATGAAAAATGAGACTTCTTATAATCTTTTTGTTAAAACGTTAAAAATATTTATGCAATGAAACAACACATTTAATAAATTCTTGCAAAACTCGGACCTATTATATTAGATTATTATTGGATAATTCAGATAAAATGCTTTCGGTACCAATGATTATGCATGCATTGTTTAGAAAGTTACCTTAATTCATGTCATTTTTATAAATAACACTTTTCAAGTGATCCCACAGAAAGAAGTCGTTCGGCGAAAAGTCAGTGACCTAGGTGACCGAAAGATTAGGCACCTTGGGCCAATAATATTTCCGTTAGTTTTGGATAGTATTTCCCAAGCACTCCCTAACCTTATTTGGTTTGGTTCGATGTTGATGTTGATGTACATTCATCAGTGAAACAATTTTTTTTTTTAAATCCCTATCCTTATTTGCGTTTTCTATCATTTAAAAAAAATTCTACTCTGGTTTCTGCATCGCCTTCCCGGGGCTCTCGGTGCTTTTCATATTTTTAGGAAAAATATTTGTTATTTTTTAATCTGTGCAGCACTGTGGTTTCATGTTTATTTACAGCTTGCCCAAGGCTCTTCGTACTAATAATTTTGTTTTCCTCCACATGAAGTAAAATGTTCAAATCTCTGTTGTCCTTTTCTTCAGCTCTATTAACGACATTTTCAGCTGAACATTTGCAGTTATTGATTATGCCGCCTTTAGACTCGAATTGGGCAATAATACTTTTAATTGTTGAAATGGAAGGTATAATTTTAGCAGGAAAATAAACTGAAAATTACTACTACCACTTACGGTTACTTTTTCTTCAATGAATAATTCAATTAAAGCGCGTTTAATAACGTATACCAATCACAAATAGAAATATTGTTACTGTTACGAATTGTCGTGTTGTCATTGTCAAAATGCATTTTAATGGTGTTTGATTTATTACCTGAAATATAAACATTTCTAAATTTGCCATCATTTTTAATGAAATAAATGAAAAATGGCTCTTTAAAATTTATTCCTACTCGGCACGTGAGTTAATCATATCTGTCCCTTCTAGAAGTTATATTACAACTTTACTATAAAATATAGAGGGGAGCCAATATTTGGATGCCTAAAAATTGACATGTTCCGTTCGGCAGTGCATCACGCGGTATAAAATAGTAACAGCAATGTTGCCAGATTTCGTGATGATATTTATAATTTTGGTAATCTTTCACCGACACACCTTTTTTCCTATGTTCAAGAACCTCCAAAATTGTGAGATGTAAAGATTTTTTTTAATAATAAAACGTAAAAGTGGTAAATCTGGCAACACTGCTCTAGCATTTTTTAATCCTGCATGATCAAAAACCCCCAAAAACCAACTCGGTATATGTAAAAAATAAAATGTATATTAACCAACTTTGATAGAACTTTGAGAGGGATCGACCTGTTTAA